TTGAAGCTCCTCCCCCACAACAATGAAACCGGCACCTCACAGTGAATACATTGTATGCTAAGAGCTTTCTGTATTTCTAAATAATAATTGTTATTACAGATTCAAAACGCCCAACAGCAGTTTCAACACCACCTACAGTCCGAACAGCAGCTACACACAGAACACGACACAAAACACAACACAGAACACGACACAGAATACGACACAGAACACGACACAGAGTCACAATATCAGCATCAACCAGAGTTACACTCAGAACGGCGTGACACAAGATAAGAGCCCGTCCTTCAGCAGCTTCAGACCTCACGATGACACGCCCAGGAACTACGAAGGGTTTACTACACGGTAAGGATGACCGGGACACGGAACATTAACACAGCTTAGCTGATCAAACTATTAAAATAGAATACAGCCTATAAATGTTTTAATTCTTAACAAAATAGAAAAATAATCTAATCCTCTGCTTCTCTTCCATGCTGCCGGACAGAAATGTGCCTTCTTAGAATAAGCTACGCTAAGTTAATATAAGGGATAATATGTATAAGAAAATTATTGTTATGAACTAATGTTATTGGCGTTCATATAAAAAATGTTTACTATAATAAGTATTAGGATGCCTGCTCTGAATCTTCTTAGCGCATGTGTCTACCGAAACTGTAAAGACCAGACGGGTGGATCATAGTACAGAATATGTTATCTAATTTGACGCAATTTACTTCATTTACAGAGTTAAAAACAACAATGACAGAACGATGACTAATAAGTAAGTCGTCTATATACACGCCGGCCTTGTACTGTGTTGTGAACGGATTCCGCTTTGTGATATATACCGCGTGTTGATGATATGAGCGTCGTTCTGTACATATGCATTAGTTTGAAATGTATGATGCTTGGTTAGTGAGCTCATCTCATGATACCCTTGAAGTACATGTATTATATGCAATTGTTATAATGTAGTTACTGTACAAGTAGATCTAAAACAATAGATGTGATGGTTCTTATAATATACACTAATAATAACTAAAGCCATGCCGTCTGTTGACAGCACTAACATGTTTAATCAATTTCTGTTATGCATGCGGGTGATTAACGTAGAGATAGGACAAGCATGAGTGAGGAGCCCGTAGTCGTCAAGGCCTTACACCTGCCACAAGTGAAGACGGCTCTGCTCGTGACGGACGACACGCAGAGGATATACTACAGGCAGCCGCCGCCCCCGCCCCCGCCGCCCCGGCGGATACACAATAAGTACGGAGAGGATGCTAGCTAAGGGGTTCGTTGCTTTACTATAGGGATAGGGACCCAGCACTAGAACGATACAACCTTCTGATACAGCCTTCGATGACGACTAGGGGCCTATCATTCTTAACGCATGGCACGGCTAACGGTTTCGGGCTTCCATGTGCCGGCAGGCTGATGACTTGTGTGCTTTCAGTTACGAGACCCGACTGTACGACACGCCGCGGACCTTGAACGAATATTATACCAAGACGGACGAACGACACCATGACACAACACACACGCAGCAGACACACAAGGAGCAGAGGTACGGCTACGAGGACGCCAAGGCGCCCATGAGTCCCAAGTTCAACGCCAGGGACATGAAGTTCGATGAGAAGGAACCGATTTACTCCACGCTGAAGAAGCCGACCTCGAGCCTCGACGGCATCGGTCAGAACTATAGTGAACACCACAAGTCCACGGAAAAAATACCGGGAGGCACCAAGCACTCGGAGTACAGCATAAAGAGCGAGTCCTATCAGAGCTTCCCCAAGACGGAGTTCTTCAAGACGGAGACGAGGCAGGAGGTCAAGTCGCCCTTCGCCACCTCCACCCCCTCCAAGTTCGACCGACCAGAGTTCCCCGACTTCCCCAAGGCCTCCATGGAGGTGGTCAAGGCGCCCACTCCCGACTACGACAGGATCTCGTCGCCCTACGGGAAGGAAGTCCACAGCTTCGGCGGACCGAACTTCTTCGAGAAGACGACCACCGAGGTGAAGGAGATACCGAACGGCACCCAGAAGATCACCACCACCAAGATATACAGCTCGTCGCCCGTCAAGCTCACCAGCACCAGCACCAAGTACGAGCCCGTCAAGCTGGACGGGATCGACGAGCTGGCCCGGGCCTTCGACGACGACTCCAAGTACAACACGCTGGAGTCCAAGATGAGCTCCGAGACCAGCCGCTCCTTCATGAGGCCCTCGGAGTTCCAGGCCGACTACCAGCCCAGCTCCTCCGACCTCTTGAAGGAGATCGACAGTATGGACAGGAAGTTCTCCAAACAGACCATCTCCTCGGAGATCATCGAGAAGAAGTCCGTCATGACCAGCTCGCACAAGTCGGAGACCAGCTCCACCTACACCAAGAAGTTCGGCAACTACTAGGGGAGGAGGGAGGGGGGAGGTGTAAACATGCATGTAGTAGTGTGACGTTGTAGAGTTAGGAACTAACCGCCGGTGCTCTTAGACGTAGGATGGAATGTGCCTGATAGATGAACATAGGATACTATTTATATATACACATAATATATACGACGTTTTGATATACATTAATATATAATCCGCCATGAATTCACGAAGTGCTAATCCCTCGGGAGCCTTATAGTGTAGGTATAAGGAACAAGTAGAGGTGTTAAGTGTAAATAATACGAGCCGACTGCTCTCACACGACGGTCGCTAGAGTTACGGAGATACAACGAAACATACACACAGACAGACAGACAAACGGGTGACTCACACATATAGAAGGGTTTCAGCTCGAAGTCAGTGCCATAATGATCAGAGTGAGGGCAGTCGGCGAGATAGTAACATAAATATAAGATGGAATTATTATAACTATATATTATGTTAATACTAACAGTTGTATGAGTTTATACACAGAGGAGCATGTCTCGACTATAAAGGTGTGTTCACACTGTTATATAGATTATATATTATTATAACGAAGCTTCGGAACGTGGAGGATTCGTTCTGGCAACACGGTGTCTTAAATAGATTAGACGGCTCTGTTAGAGTCACGTAGTGTAGAACGGTCTTTATATTTATAGTATATATCTAACTACCGTCTCGCGGCAACTATTTATAATGTAATATTAATCTCAGTATATTAAACCAAATAAGATTAATTAATTTTCATTTTATTTTTTATATCTCTTGGACTATGTATTTTATATTGTTTTGTTATAATTATTTGAGATTTTATAGCTCCGTCCCGTGTATGATGTATCCCGGGACGCTCGACTTACCTTGTAATAAATGTATTACTAATTATATTTGGATTTTATTTCCCTCATTTAACATCTACGGTCCTAGTAAGTTGATGTGACTACACCACAGTTAAAAATTAAACTTATATTACATACACTGGTCATTTACCTCCAAAAATTTCTCTCTGTGCTAATTAATCTAGCCTATGAGTAAAAACAAATAAATATTAACAAAAAAAAATTGCTTTAATATGCAATAAAAATAAAACAGAGCTCACTTTATAAGGATGAGAAAAATAATGACATGGATCAAAATATGTAGTACTTCCAGTTATCTTGCAAAATGCAAAATAGCTGAAGCTAGTATTTATAGTTTACAAATACAAGTGGATACTTATGTTGAATACAACATTACAATAGTTCAGTATTTTAATTAATTATAATCAGTCATAATAATAATTGAAAGGATTATAGTTTATTATAATTAGTAGGGGCACATGGCATCACTTGTAACAATATCTCTGAAATCATTAGGTGTAGTGACTTGACATTTGTTAGGAATATTCCAACAACCGAGGAATGAGTCGTAGTTGCCGGGGCGTCCACAAAGACTAATACCAGATTTTAAATCATATCTCCTACATGTTTCACATTTGGTAGGAATCTTCTGTATGTGCTGTAGAAATTATCTAAGACTGAAATTTACAATAAGTTATCCACTGTAATCATTGCAGGATTTAAATTTCTGTATTTTATGTCAATTAAGCAATTAAGTTAACAATAATTATAAAGTTCACTGTTAAATAACAATACATGAAGATGAAATGTTCTCTTACAAAAAACAATATTTTGTCACGAAATCGGAAAATAGAGATTTCAACGAACAGAAAACACACAAAATTTTTGAAAAACGCTAATATTTTGACAGGTGATTTTTCGATTGAAAATGAGACTAATTTTTTGATATTTATTCAAAATAAGCTGAAAAAATAAATATTTCTAATCAAATAAATTACAGTGTATTTGGGATATCAAAAGGAAAGTTTCCACAAAATTTCGTGACAAAATATTGTTTTTGGTAAGAGAAAAAAATAAAAAATCAATAACTTGGTTTTTAGAATTTTTCACATAAAATTTGAGGTTTTGTGAAAAAAATGTTAGTACAAAAGTTTTAGATCTTTTTATTACCTACAACTTTGCCATATACTCGTAACATTTTTCATTAGGACTCTTAGTTTTTTCGGAAATCGAGAAAACCACTTTTTTATCTTTAAATACCCACGCCCGTACCCTTCCCGACCTCAGATCGCCCGTGAATTATTTTTCCCTTAATTTTTATAATATTCCCCTCCTTTTCTAATGGGTTTCATTCTACTATAATTTAATTATATTTTAAAAGCTATCGGCACTGGTCTAAATATAAGTGGCGTCGTTACCGTTAGATTGTATTAAAGGACTATTTTTATAACACACATTAAGAGATACTTTTAAAAAAATAAAAAAAATATTTTCAATGAGTCCAATACCGACAATAGCTTAGGATTCACTGATTATTGGAATTTCGTATGCTATGGATTCTATGAGTATTGAAACGAGCAGATATTTAAAAGAACAAAATGTCCATTAAAAATTAATTAACTAGTACAAGTTAACATTTATATGTCTACATGAATCCGGTGCTCATCCAATTCTAGTAATAACGTCAGTCTCCGGGCGTCTGTGAGAGCCACGCTCGTAACTCGAATGTAAATAGTCATTCGCTCCATCAGTGATCAGTGTCGCGTCCGTCGCGATGTATGTCGGTACGTTAGTGTGCTTGCTGGCCGCTCTCCTCGCGTCCAAGGCTGACGGTGACTGTCCAGCTCGCGAGGAGGACCCTCACCACGAGATGCTCCTCCACATGAACCTGACCTGCGCCTCCGACAACAGTTACCGCCCGCTCAAGGACCTGGCGACCGCCGTCCACGTGCGGCTGAGGTTCCACCTCAACTATATGACCTTCGACGACGACAAGGAGACCGTCACCGTGTCCACTTGGGTCGAGTTCAACTGGAAGAACGAGTTGCTGGCGTGGAACGAGAGCGACTACGGCGGCGCCCGGGAGGTCCAGATGGACAGTCAGGCCATGTGGTCTCCGATCTTCACGTTACTGAACGCGGACGTGAGCGTGTACACTCCCCACAGGGTCTACACTACTTGTTTGATCACCAGCGACGGAGCTGTGACGTGTGTGCCGCTGTTTCCCCACACAGGACTCTGCAGCACGGCGCTGAGGAACTGGCCACACGACCGAAGGAACTGCACGCTGTACTACGCGTCGTGGATGCAGACGGAGGACAAGGTCAACCTGTCGTTCCACGAGCAGGATCCCCTCGTGTTCCAGGAGTTCCAGAGCGCGCCCGGCTGGAGGCTCCTGGACATAACACACGCTCGGCTCCCGGGCCAGCGGACCTGCTGCCCTTACAAGGACCCCGTGCTGTCCATCTCCTTCATCTTGAAGAGGGAGGCGGCGGGTCTCACGGCCACGGTGCTCATTCCCTCTGTGTTCGTGGTGCTGCTCACTTGTTCCTCTCTTCTGCTGACAGCCAACCTTAAGAGCCGCCTCTCCTTGCTGTGTTTCAGTCTGTTCGGACACTTCGTTCTCCTCTCTCAAGTCTGTTTCCTTCTGCCCACGTTCAGCTCCGAGTCTCCTCACATCTTACTGTTCCTCAGAGCCTCCATCTTCGTAACCTTGCTCTGTGTTTGGGAGACTCTATCCATCATGTCTCTCATCATCAAAGCGTCTCCGGCTCCCGGGTGGGTGGTGAGGGTGAACGGCTCGCTGATGGATGGACCGGCCCGGTGTTTAGTGATCAGTGAGTTTGGTGTGTGTGCGAGCGGAGAAGAGGGCGTCGTTGATGACGGACGAGCCAACAGAGAGTGGACGAAGTTCGCCAACATTGTGAACAGTTGTGTGTTCTCTGTGTGTGTTTTACTTTACTCATTATTGATATTCGTTTACTTTCCCGTCGACAGTTCATAGTTATTTATTTTAATCTTGGTCATTATCATTTCAATGTTCCCTTCTATACTATAGTATCTAGTATTTTCCTTGTATTTCACTCCCACGCGTACTTAACACGCTTCCTCTTTAAACACCGACTAAATGTGCAATTCATTCTTAACTCGTTAATCGTAGAGCCAATTCAAAAGCGTCATACAAAGATGTATTTACAATTAATCATTACGGCCAATCAGTCAGTCAATATTTTTAAAAATATATGTGAGAAACAAGAAGTTAATAGCTAATACACAAAAAATTACAAATATAGAAAAATTGTATATAAGTCTCTGTAACAACGACTTATTATTTTAATTAAATTAAAGTAAATAACACAAAAAGAATCAAGCCCTATTATTTTCATGTCTTACTAAGTGTTGTTCCTTAAAAAAACTTGAAAAAAATTCAAGTTCACCAAACGATCAAACGTTATTCATAATTCCCGATAAGATTACACATTACAAGTTTTATTTGAAGGAAAGTCATTTGTCAATAATAAATTCCACCTCAGATTTCGCTTTTGTGATATTTAATAGGTACAAAAATGTTTATGTGGCGTAGCTGTGTGTATATTTAAATTTTGTAATTGGAAATTTTAAGCAGCCACAGTAGACAAGCAGATTTAATGACGTTTAAAAAGTAACTTTTTCATACAAATATAATCGTCTTTTGGAATCTTCTATATATATATATATATATATATATATATATATATATATATATATATATATATATATATATATATATATATATATATATATAAAAATGGATTGCTGTTCCTTAGTCTCGCTAAAACTCGAGAACGGCTGGGCCGATTTGGCTAATTTTAGTCTTGAAATACTCCTGAAAGTCCAGGAAAGGTTTAAAAGGTGAGAAAAATTGGAATGATTGCCGGGAAAAGCCTAAAAGCAGCCCTTCTCTATTTCCCATACAAACGTTTTTTTGACATTAGATTTGACAACTAACTAATATGTCAATCATTCTGTTTGATTGAAACAAGAAAAACCTGATTATTTATGGCCTCTAAGACAGAATAGAGTTTGCCTGGTCAGCTTCTTCTTCTACCTGGCAATTTCCCAGCTATAGCCAGGGTCTGCCTAACATGTTTGTGAATAGTTTTGGCTATTTGTTTTTACGACCGGCCGCCTGCCTGACATCAACCCTCTCTTTGGGAATCAACATAAATCAATGATGTCTAAATACTCTTAGAAAGTACATATGACTCGGAAAAATCACATTGGTACTTGCCCGGGCCAGGATCGAACCCGCGCCCTTGGCAACGAGAGACGGGCCCTTTAACCACTAGGCCACCACTGCCTGGTCAGCTATACCTACATATATTACTCTTGACCAAACTAACGCGGACGAAGTCGCGGGCAAAAACTAGTAATAAATAAAAATTCTTGGAAATATTTAATTTGAATACATAATATGTGTGTAAAATGCAGTGTTTTATTATTATTATCTTTATATATTTTTCTGTATTCTTCTGTGAGTGTGTATGTAACTGAAATTCTCTCAATCGACTGGACCGATTTTGATGAAATTTTTTGTGTGTGTTCAAGGGGATCTGGGAATGGTTTGGATTCACAATATTGTCCGCTGGACAATGTTTTTTTAATTAACTTTAATTTATTAGTAGTTGTTGATACAAACGTTTTTATTTTTGACATTAGATTTGACAGCTAACTAAATTGTCAATCATTATGTCGCACTTCAATCGTTGATTAAAATGTTTGTTTTGTATTGTTACACTATAATTAGGCAGTTGTAATTTCCATGAGCAAGAAAATAGTAAGTAATTTCCTCACCGTCTGCGGGCCAACTGCCTAACGACGAATTAAACGATTCTCTTATCGCACATTAAGTCGATAATTTGTAGATATTGACGTGCCCCACGCTTTTATTTAAGTCTAGTCTGTGCATATGTTTATAATTCCCACGACTGTATCTATTTTATTATTTTTTGGTTTTTAGTACATTTATCTTAAACATTGCAATGTATGTTTCACGTAAAACCGTTTTACTTAAAAAGTTTTTTTACGTATTTTTATTTTGATAATTTTATAACAAACATTATTTGTTTAAATTTCTAGGTTACTTGTATTCAATGACTTGTTTGTAACGTTTTTTCCCTCGTTAAAACACAAGAGAAGAAAAAATCAATAGAAGACTAAAATGAAATTATCTAAAATATATAATAAGTAATAACTAATAAGTAAAAAGGAAGAGTTGTTTATTCAAACGCGCTAATCTTTGGAAACTTAAGGTTAGTATTAGAAGTAGGTTTTAAATTGAAATGTAAACATCTGAATCTAAAGAATAATTATTCTTAAATAATAAATGTTAATTAATATTTGTTACTTAATAATTTATTAAATCTTAAACAAATTAATTTTTTTTGTTGGTTCAAATGTTGTGAACTCCTGAACACTTGTTTACAAAATTTATAGCTTCTCATGACGGTTACTTTACACATGAAGTCTTCTTATAAATACATTACAATTAAAAATATTTATAGCCCTAATATGGTTTCCGTCAAAATTACTAATAAGTAAAAAATGTTTTCGTGATAAAATTAAAATACTAGGTGAGTGAACCCTTGTAGTCTGACGTCATTGGCCAGCCGTCTCCGTCCCTTTCGCTTTAATGCAAACGTGCGAGAGAGAGGGCGCTACATTATCTTGTTAAGTTGGATAGACCTCGCGGACAGTACGGTCCAATATTTGGAGCGAAATTATCTCATAACACCAGTTCATTGCAGACTTTATTGTACTAAAACACAGCTTTTATGTTATATCGTAATTTTTAATGAATTTGTAATAATAATAGTGTTGTAACTGTCTTATAAGATATTATATGAACGTATAGTTTTGGGTATGGATGTTAAACCGGTTCGGTCTATATCTAATAAAGAAAAACAAACACCACGACATAAACGTCAAAAGGTTTGAGGAATTGTGATTGATGAATGTGACAGATTACAAATAAATAGAAAAAGATGTCATGTAAATGTTTGATATAAATGTGGGAGTTATAATAAATTATTTTATTATTTTACAGACATACTTTACGTCGAGCGAAAAGAACATGATCATAAATGTATACGAACACGTAAAGGAAACATGGCCTGCCGACGAGTACCCGTACAAGACGAAACTAAATGAGAAGACGGCGGCCGTGTGCGGCATCGGCATCGCTTCTGTATATAGAATACTAAAAGAATACGCGACCAACGAACGAGTCAAGTCACCAGTGTTAACCAAGAAGAGACCGACGTTCTCCGAAAAGATTGACGCCAATGATAAAAGCTCTATAAGGAAAATAGTTCACGGTTACTACATGAGGGGCGAGCTGCCTACATTCAAAAAGATACTACAAGCGGTCAACGACGATGAGGAACTACCGAATTTTAAAAAGTCAACGTTTCATAGAATACTGAGGCATTTGAAGTTTAGGAACGTAAGACTCAAAGGAACAAACGCTTTAGTCGAAAATAATGACATTGTATTGTGGAGGATAAATTATTTGAAAACAATTAAAATGTACAGAAATGAAAACCGAAAAATATTCTATATTAATGAAGCTGTTTTAAATATAGGTCTGTTTAAAAACTTCTGTTCTACATCTAAATCATAGTTCAGAATGAAACTTAAATTGTAAGATAATACAAATATGAATATTACAAAACTATTATTTCTATAACTATTATTCTGTATAAAGTTTAACTTCTTAAGGAATCAATGTTTCATTTTCAGGGAACTCTGATCCAAAGTGTTACATGGATACTTCAACAAACACCTCACTAATATCTAAAGAAGGAACCAGTACCAAGAATACCACTTCAAGGAGTAAAAGTTTAGTTATTTTACACATTGGCAGTGAGACGGGGTTCCTAAAAGGTGCAGAACATATAATAGAATTAAAAACCCAAGGAGATCCTCATGAATCAATAGATGCCAATAACTTTGAGCATTGGTTTGAACAGAATGTAGCAAAACTCGGAGAGAACTCAGTTGTCGTCATGAACGCTGCCCCTTATAACACAAGACGAGCTGAAAAGACTCCAAGTATAGCGTGGACCAAGGGAGATATACAAGAGTGGCTCCTACATAAAGAAATTCATTTTGATCAATCAGAAGTCAAAGTAGAACTATTGAAGAGAGTTCATGATGTTAAAAGAGACTTTCAAGCATATGCCATAGACGAGCTCGCCAAGAAATACAAAGTGGACATCATGAGACTGCCGCCTTATCACCGTGAACTAAACCCGGGCCAACTGGTGTGGTCGGATGTGAAGGATCACTTGGAGATCACCGACACCAGTTTCACATTTGAACAAATAAAATCCTTGCTCCAGACCAGCATCAGAAATGTGTCTTCTGATAAATGGCAAAGCTGCATCACACATGTGATCCAAGTAGAAGACTTCTTCTATAGAAAATTAGATGTTCTGATCGACAATACAATGGACACCTTCGGAGTTAATATCAGTGACACAGCTTCAGACACGGAATCCTGTTCCTCCAGCACAGACGAGAGTCTCTTGAAATATATGGAATAAATGTACTGACTAAAACTATTTGATTCATTATTTTTAAGTAGTTTAAAATAAAAATAAAATTACAAATTGTTTATTAAACTTTATTTATTTAGAATCCTAGTATTGAATTGCAATTAAGTTATTTAAGTTAGGCATTTAATATAAAAATTGCTATCAATTTATTTTTACTGCTTCTATTGATCAAACTTGTAGATTATTGAATTCAAGAACAACTTTTGTATGATAACAAGACCCTATTTAACTTGTGATAAGAGAAATTCAATTTGTTTATCGTTGTAATACTTTCGTCTTAAAATAAAGTAACTTCTTCAAATTAAACCTGAACTACTATAATTTTTAACACCTTTTGACAATAAAATATATCCAATAACTAGATATTTAAGACGCTCTATTTGAAACTAGTAGTAGCATCATTAAAAAAAAGAAATCTGGTGATTAATTCTATCATATAGTTATGAAAGTATGAAACAACTTTAATAAAAAAGAAGGACGAAAAACACTACAACTTATTTTACAAGTAAACAACAATTATAATACACACTATGGACTCTTGACAGATCACAGACACCTCACACGGTAGATAATAGTAGTTTGTTATTACAGAAATTAAAGAAAATATTGTTTTTTGGAGAAATTTTAATGTTTATTTAAATTATTAAAACTTTAAATTTTAAAATATTAAATTAACCTAATCAAATATATTTTAATCTAAACAAATAATATATTGTTGTTTTGCTTTATTATACTTTTAACACACCTTAATCTTACTTGGTTACTAAATATTCAAATTATATCACGCAACGCTTAAAAATAATACTATGATACTTGAATAAGCTTTTAAATTTAAAGTTTGTAACATATTTTTAAAAAACATACAGACAACGTGTAATGGCGAATTTTAAATACATATGTATTTGCATTGTGTCTCTACGATTAACGAGTTAAGAATGAATTGGGCATTTACTCGGGGTTTAAGGAGGAAGCGTGTTAAGTACGCGTGGGAGTGAAATACAAGGAAAATACAAGATACTATAGTATAGAAGGGAACATTGAAATGATAATGGCTGAGAGTAAAATAAATAACTATGAACTGTCGACGGGAAAGTAAACGAATATCAATAATGAGTAAAGTAAAACACACACAGAGAACACACAACTGTTCACGATGTTGGCGAACTTCGTCCACTCTCTGTTGGCTCGTCCGTCATCAACGACGCCATCTTCTCCGCTCGCACACACACCGAACTCACTGATCACTAAACACCGGGCCGGTCCATCCATCAGCGAGCCGTTCACCCTCACCACCCACCCGGGAGCCGGAGACGCTTTGATGATGAGAGACATGATGGAAAGAGTCTCCCAAACACAGAGCAAGGTTACGAAGATGGAGGCTCTGAGGAACAGTAAGATGTGAGGAGACTCGGAGCTGAACGTGGGCAGAAGGAAACAGACTTGAGAGAGGAGAACGAAGTGTGCGAACAGACTGAAACACAGCAAGGAGAGGCGGGTCTTAAGGTTGGCTGTCAGCAGAAGAGAGGAACAAGTGAGCAGCACCACGAGCACAGAGGGCATGAGCACCGTGGCCGTGAGACCCGCCGCCTCCCTCTTCAAGATGAAGGAGATGGACAGCACGGGGTCCTTGTAAGGGCAGCAGGTCCGCTGGCCCGGGAGGCGAGCGTGGGTTATGT